GGCTTCAATGGCAGCTGAAAAACCCACTGCAGCGCAGCCACACTTCACTGCCTGCTCTATATGCCAGTAATGTGGCTAAACTGGCCTGTCCCTGACATCTAGAGCCACCTTTGCAGCGGGGGGTGGACTCACTGACCTCGCAAACATCTTCAGACTGATTTTTCTAAACCTCCGTATTGCATTTTACATGGTGTTTTTTTTTCTTGACACTAGTTGGCCAAGTGTATTTCCCACACCGTGTAACCCCTCTATGCAGGAGCGTTCCTACCTGTGATAATTCCCCTCATAATTAACCATCTTCTAAAACCACTTTTTGTCTAACAGCTACTGCTTGGCTCCTGAGTTGTGTTTTGGAAGGTGGGGAGTACGGCAAGCCAACTGTTTGTTTAACGTCTCCATGCCAGAAGAGGAGAGGCGTTCGCCAAGCTTTATAGTGGTGGGTGGCAAGCAGAAACCGAGCCCGGAGCTCTGCTGTTTTTCTTCCCTTTTCCCCTCTTCCTTGGGGATAAGGAGGAGAAATATAAGAAAGTGGATCCCACATGTTCGGTTCAATGACAATTACAGTATCAGCTGATTCAGGAAATTAGCAAGCAATTAGTGGTGATGTTGTCTGACAGTTTGGTGTGATCTTGAGGCTTATGCAGGCCAGATTCTTGAACTCTCTTAACTGAAAATTATACCAACAAATAGTTTCACTGATTTTAGCCTTCTCTCCCTGGAAGGTTGTGACGGGATCGACCTCAAAGACAGCAAATAGCTCAGGGTGGGGAGCTCTGTTTCATGTTGGGATGCAAAGCACTAAGTTTGTTGGCGATATCACATGCACAGATCTCTCCTCCTTCCTTGTGGTAATGAATTGTGAGCCCTTCAGCAACAACGTGCACATCTTTAAAAAAAACACGGTACTATCCAGAAATGAAGGTTAGCCTCAAGAGTAATTAATTTTACAGGTAAGCTTTGAAGTACCTTGAGCTCTGACTACGTTTTCTGCTGTGTGGATTCCACTTAAATGGGGAAAAAAACATTTAAAAGTTGGCTGGCACTGAATTTTTAGCAATCAGAGCCTAGAGGTTTGAATGTGTGCTCCTTTTCCTCTTCTAAATGTAAATTAATACAAATTTATATCACGAAGTAGGTAGGTTTGCTGCAGTGAAGTTATTCTGACAGTTAGCCGCACTGGCTAAATGTGACGAGCAGGAGAAGACAGAGACTCAGCAATGTGGGTGATGGAGAAGGAGAAGAGTTGCACAACATTACTCACCACCAGAGGAATGGAGCAGATGAGCACCACCAGGGAAGTGGCAATGAGCAGAATAAACATCTGGATCTCCGTTCCAGCCATGCGATGGAAGCTCCGGCGTCTGCAAAAGTCAGATAAACGGCTGGAGGTGGTGTCCGTGCCCAAGGACGTGCGCCGCATGAACTGGCGGTGCATGCGGATGAGGGCCATGCACACCAGGATGTTGCAGATCACGGTGACCATGATCAGGAAGGAGCTGAAGCCGGTGTACATGTAGGAGTACGCTGCGTGAGTGGCCTCCTTGGCTCGCCAGTCTATGAAACACCAAGTATCGGGGTACTGCAAGGTAGATTTGCTGAGCCCCATGCTGGGGAGGGCGCAGAACAGCACGTTGGAAGTGTAGATGGCGAAGAGCGTGAGACCTGCCAGCTTCTTATCTACGTAGTGGTTGTAGAAATAGGCATGGTTGATGGCCAGATACCTCTCTATAGACATGGCACAGATAATGCTGAGGCCAGAGAGCCCGAAGAAGAGGAGGATGAAGGAGCTGTACTCACACAGTGCTGGTCCTCCCGGCCAGTGATTCTGCAGGTAAGTGGCGATAGTGACTGGACTCACCAGGCAGGTCCCCAGCAGGTCGGTGACTGCCAGCCCGCAGACCAGCATGTAGAAAGTGGTCTCCTTCTGCTCCTTGTGGGACTTGCAGAGCACCACGATGGCTATGAGGTTGCCCACGACACCAAAAATGAACATGATGGTGGGGATGGTGGGGGGCTTCCCGCCCTCGCTCGCTGTCCCATTTGCAGAGCCGTTCACAGGTGGTATCATGGTGGGGTTGAAGGACATGATGCCCCACGCCACCCACCGCTGGATGGCAGCGAGCAGCAGCAGGAGTGGGTCTCCAAAAAAAGAAAAGTCCAGGACAGGCTGGGGAGGAAGTTCAGCGTGAAAACAAAAGTTCAAATGCGAGAAGGGCGAAGAAAACCCTGCTTTATTTCAGGCGGAGCCGAGGCGGTGACCGA